CCCTTCCTTTATTTGCTGGATATTCGTTATTCTGTATTTCATACAATTCACCCATAATTTTCAAAGGATTTGACTTATTCACCTAGGGTGTTATGAATAAGGTGAAATACTTACCTTATACCTTTCTCCTGCAGGCTTCCTTCCCACTGGTACCCTGAAACCGCTCCTCTTTGCCGCTCAACCATTCACATCTCTACGATGTTATTGCAAAAAATGCAGGAGTTTGTAGTCTCACTTTATGCTCTGTCTGTTAAAGTCCACAACCATTTAAGCCAGAAGCAGTACACTCTGCTGCGTCCAGGAATCAGCAAATGTTCCAGAGACAATAGGAACTGGGCTGTATTCATACACTGTGCACACATGAATTATGACAAAAGAAGGCAGAGAAACCTATAAAGTATGGTTCAATTAATTTACCACTGGATCATGCACGTATTTGGAAAATACTAATGCTAAAATATTGGAGGTATTTGAGGAAGCACAATGTTTGCTTTATATTCACACCACTCAATTTTAAACTCCCAAATAAACTTTCAGTTTAAGCTATAAACTTTCAGCTATGTACTGTATATTCCAGGTAGAGTGTTACAGTTCTTTTCTTGAGGGCTTGTTCACACCGAAAGCGTGTGCATTCCAGAGCAGTAGCTGCTGGAACGCACCGCGATCGCTGTGAAACTTCCCCCCGCGTTTTGGGGCGGGAGGGGGCGTTTGGAACGCATGTTTATCAGAGATCATAAATCCATCTGGACAGTTTAATTGGGCAGGAACCAGGACATCGCTATTTATGAGTGCTCTAAAGATCAAAAGTAAACCATTAGGTTATTTTTACACCAGAAAAATCTAAGATGGAAATATGCTGGGAATATAAGAGGCTGATATGTGCTATTAAAGTATTGATTGCTTAAAAGGAAAGCTTTGGGAGTGTATTTTCCACCTTGATTCTGTAGGAAGTTTGTATTTTTGTATGTAGGAGTTTGTATGTTCTCCTTTAGCCATAGCTAAACCCAAAAACAAAAATATAATATTTTGCACCTTACCAGTCCTTAGATGTAGTGGCTGCATTTGTTTTCATTTTTCAGTCTTTTTACGTTTTACTTTTTGTTTTACCTTGTGATCCTGAGCAGGGCCGTAGCTACCATGAGGCGAGTGAGGGGGCGCAGACAGGGCTAGCCTGGCTGCACCCCCTCGCCCCTGTTGCCACAGCTAGCACAGGGCGCCATGGCAACAGGGGTGCCAGGCAGCCAACACAGACACGGCTTGGCAGGGAGAAGACGGGCAGCACAGGCTCCAACTTCTCCTCAGATCCTTGTTGTTCTCGCATGCCTGTATGGGATTAGAGGAGAAAAGGAGTGCTGCAGTCGGTGGGGGGCGGAGGAGAGAGCTGTCACTTCACTTAAACTTGTCTGCTGTTGTTCACTTGTATTACATGTGGGGTGATGGGATTAGTAATTTACCCCCCAAAAAATTAAGAATGCTTTTTCTTTTTCATTCATGTTAGGAGAAGTGACAAGGCCACTGCATTACTGGCAAGAGGCATATTCTGCACTTGCTGAAAATGTTCTTTGCCTGAAAAATGAACACTCCATCTAAGAACTGGTAAAGCTTGTTCTTGGGTTTAGTTGTGCTTTAAAGAGACTATGTCATTTTAGCTATATGCACTGACAGGTTCTCTTGATAGAACAACCCCCCCACCACCACCTACTGCTACTCACCTTCTCTGCACTCCACCACTGCTCTATCAGTTTACACAAAATTAATGACTTCTTCCCTTTACTCACATCACAGTGTTCGAGCATGGCAGTTGTTTGCCCAGACATGATCACTGCTTCCTGGTAGAGGGTCACATGCTCCCCCTACCCGGGGCAGATGATACTTACTAAAGGCTCCAATGGAGTGGCAGGGGAGCAAGGTGTAGGAGAGTATCAATAGTTAAGGTTTGTTATTTCAAGAGAACCTGTCACTGCGCCCTAAATGAGGAAAGCTACAGAATCCCTTTAAAGTAAATCTAACCAAATCAGGAACATTTCATATACACTTTAAGGAGTTGATGTAATTTGAAAAGTATTTTTTTATATTCATACATATGCAGCTTTCATTAGCATATTGCCTGGTGCTTCTGCCATGGAGATCCTTGTTCAGGTCCTTCCTGTTTTGGGGTAACAATGCACTGCCTTATAAATAGCAGCAGTGTTACCAGCCTGCTGTGTGAGCTCCTTCAGTTGGACATTAGGATATCTATCAGGTCCATCGGATAGGCAGCCCAAAACAGGGGCTGACAACAGTGCTGCTAATTGCTGCTAATTGTCAGGATCTCCAGATAAGAAACTTTTCAATTCATTAACAAAAAAATATTTGTTTAAGGAATCTGTATACAGTGAGGTGTGATGTGTTGTATATAATGAAATCATGAAAGTATGAATGTATCTATAGAAGAAAGCACATTGATTTCTATTACTACAAATATGTACTATGTCAAACTAACAGACACTTTTTATGCATGTATATCTACTTTTAAGCTATTATAAAGCAAATTGAGCATTTAATAACTGTAGACCGCCAATTCCTAGTGTGGGCTTCACTTACAACTTCAATTATTGCTTCATTTAAAGTCAATCAGTAGTAGTCCCTCACTCCTTATTGATTAATTTATTGAAGCTGAAGCATTATTAACCTAGGTGTTCATCTTGTATAAAGCTTTCAGGGATCACACTTTAGAAGAGTTATCAGAGAAAGCAGCAGAGATGAGAAGAAACCAGACAAGTGATTATTACGGTTTATAGTGTTGAATAGGAATCACAGTACAAGGTTAAAAATAGGCCAAAACACATTGGACGTCACACATCATAATCAAAGGATAGCTATGAACAAACATTCATAAACCGGAGCTCCTTGATGTGATAGTCTCATTAGTTTTCATTTTGCAGGTTAAGCATATAATAAGCAAGTACTGAAACTACCTGTTGATCTCACCAGAAATGCAGTGCCCTTGCACAAATAAGGGTATCTTCATTATTTTCTCCAAACTACTAATTCCCCCCCTTCCTCTCCAATGGAGATGAAGGGAGGAAGACATGTTTGAAGTCTAACCTGGGTAACCATTGCTCTCTCCATAGATACAGTACAGTGAGAAAACATTGCCACCCTAGGACAAGAAATGTGTTACTGGCAGGATCACCAGGTGGAAATAAATGTTAAAAAAAATTGGATTTAAAGAATAATTACACACTGATACTTGGACCCCCCCCAAAAAATGGTAGAGTACATGTTCTTCAAAGTGATCCTGTGCTGTGGAAAATGACTAGAAACTAGCGTTTCTGAAGAATAGGCACCATAAGATGGTAGGGTAAAGTCTTCTCCTAAAGTGGCCCTTCTACTGATGTGCCCATGTAAAAATGGACCTCCCAAAGTTAGCAGATAGGCATAACCATGCCCACTTCCCACAAAGCAATCCATGGTGCCTACAAAACCTACGATGAGACCCATGCATTGTAACATGAAACACAGTGCATGTACAAATACTGATCTGTAACAGTAGTGATATGTAGGCACATATCTCTAGAGAATGGTTGGTCTCTTACAAGAAAGGTATGTTGTGGCCGCTACTATTTTCTCCTCTTTAGGAAAAGCATTGGTTTACAAATATTTTCCACAGAACAGGTTTGCCTAAAGCATAGCTATAACTTCTCTTCACCCCAGCACCCCCCAAGTTTTACACATACATATCTCTGCTCCTTTGAGATCTTAGTGGGCTGCACAGCCTCCTCCCGAAAAGTAATCTGGCCAGGTCTCTACAAAAGCACATTGATTATATTAGATTTTAAAAGATAGATATTATACTGTATATAGATCAGATACTAGATATTTAATATAGATTGGAGATTAGATATTAAAAATAGTTTTGGATAAGTTTCATAAGCTTATTAAAATGGAAAATGTTTAAAGCCAAACTCCATATATACTGATTGGCTGCCCCCCACCCCCCACACTCTTCAC